CGCTGGAGCGGACTGCTCTGGCACTGGAGTGGAGCAGCTGACTGGAGCTGGACTAGGCACCGGTGGAGCGGACTGCTCTGGCACTGGAGTGGAGCCGCTGACCGGAGCTGAACTGGACCCCGGTGGAGCGGACTACTCTGGCACTGGAACGGGCCGTACCGGGCTGGGGACATGCACCACTGGTCTGGTGCGAGGAGCAGGCACGGGGCGCACCTGGGTGGGGACACGCACCACTGGTTTGGTGCGAGGAGCAGGTACGGGGCGTACCGGGCTGGTGACACGCACCACTGGTTTAGTGCAAGGAGCAGGCACGGGCCGTACCGGGCTGAGGACACGCACCACTGGTTTGGTGCGAGGAGCAGGTACGGGGCGCACCGGGCTGGTGACACGCACCACTGGTTTGGTGCGAGGAGCAGGTACGGGCCGTACAGGACTGGAGACACACACCACTGGTTTGGTGCGAGGAGCAGGTACGGGGGCGCACCGGGCTGGCGACACGCACCACTGGTTTAGTGCGAGGAACAGGTATGGGGCGTACCGGGCTGGCGACATGCACCACTAGTTTAGTGCGAGGAGCAGGCACGGGCCATACCGGTCTGTGAAGGCGCACTGGCGGCACAGTGCGTAAAGCTGGCGCATAGCCTGGTGCCTGCACGGTCACACGCTCCTCAAAGCGAGTGCGGGGAGTTGGCTCTCTTCTGAAACCTGGCTCCACCAGCCTCTGCTCTAAGGACTGAGCTCTCTGCTGCTGGAGGGTTAACTCCTCTCTCAGCTCCTCCTGTTGTCTGGCCAGCTCCTCTCTCCGTGCATCCACTGACTCCTTCTCCCTGTGGGCCTCCTGCAGCGCCTCCCTCTGATGGGAGCTCTCCTGCTCTCTCTTAGCTAACAGCCCCCATAAAGTAGTTATCTCCTCTCTCAGAGTGCTGAGCTGCATGTCTTGGAGGGCCTCTATAACAGCGGCCTCCTCTTCCTGCACAGTCAGCCCTTTCAGGGCCTCCTTCTGCTCCGTGTGCCCCCCCAAAAAAATGTTATTCGGGCTGCCTCTCGTGCTTCCTTCGCGGTCGGCACCGTCGGCGTTGATCCCTCTCCTGCCTGGGCTTCTTCCTTCGCTTAGGGTCCTTTACCGGCTAATATCTCCTCCCATGTCCAAAATGTCTTCCCCACCTGTGTCCAGGGTGTCTGCTCCTCCTGGCCTCGCTGCTTGGTCCGTTGGTGGTGAGATCTTCTGTCACGTTCGTTGTATAAAGGATCGGACCAAGGTGCAGCGTGGTATGCGTACATAGTCATTTATTATAAAATCCAACAGAACGTGAAGTTCAAAAGGCTAAACAACAAACAAGCCAAACAGAAACAGAAACAAGATCCCACAACATAGGTAGGCAAAATGGCTGCCTAAATATGAGAGACAACGATCGACAGCTGCCTCTGATTGGGAACCACACCCGGCCAACATAGAAATAGATAAACTAGATCAACTAGCATTCACACCCTGACCAAACTAACTAGAGAAATAACAGGGTTCTCAAGGTCAGGGCGTGACAGCAAGTAAGCATTTCACTGTAAGGTTGTTATTCTGTTGTTCACCTGTTGTATTCGGCGCATGTGACAAATAAAATTTGATTTGATTTGAATATTCTAAAATCTGCATAAAATAATATGTTTTTCCATCAAACTGACTTATTGCAGATAAAAGTCTGTGCATGATGATATAGTGCACATAAAAATAACATTTGCGGTTAAATTCCCATGTACCGAATGAAAAATATAAGTTAAATGGGTTTCCATCGCATTTTCAACTCTACTAATAGTTGTGTCACAAAAACTGTTGCGTTATATAGCAAATGTGCCCACACTGGTCTTTGCAAGTGCGCTCTAGCCAACAGCTCAACAGCTTGCAGATACAGTGTGAGTAGGCTACCTACATTATGAGATTATTATGGATAAGAGCGATGTTATTTTTATTGGTCAAACGGCAGCCAAGCATCGATCATCAAGTCACCAGAATAAGACCCTCAATATTTATTGGAAAGGAGAATCAAGCTCATCACGTGCACTTTTACCACTCTGTGCAGTTCATCATAACTTATTTCATCTGTATCTAAGAAACTGCATGATTTCCCGAGTCGTAGAGGGAGGACCACACAACATATCATTGCCTGACTCCAAGTTTATATAGATACAGTGGGGGAAAAAAGTATTTAGTCAGCCACCAACTGTGCAAGTTCTCCCACTTAAAAAGATGAGAGAGGCCTGTAATTTCCATCATAGGTACACGTCAACTATGACAGATAAATTGAGAAAAAAAATCCAGAAAATCACAATGTAGGATTTTTTATGAATTTATTTGCAAATTATGGTGGAAAATAAGTATTTGGTCACCTACAAACAAGCAAGATTTCTGGCTCTCACAGACCTGTAACTTCTTCTTTAAGAGGCTCCTCTGTCCTCCACTCGTTACCTGTATTAATGGCACCTGTTTGAACTTGTTATCAGTATGAAAGACACCTGTCCACAACCTCAAACAGTCACACTCCAAACTCCACTATGGCCAAGACCAAAGAGCTGTCAAAGGACACCAGAAACAAAATTGTAGACCTGCACCAGGCTGGGAAGACTGAATCTGCAATAGGTAAGCAGCTTGGTTTGAAGAAATCAACTGTGGGAGCAATTATTAGGAAATGGAAGACATACAAGACCACTGATAATCTCCCTCGATCTGCGGCTCCACGCAGGATCTCACCCCGTGGGGTCAAAATGATCACAAGAACGGTGAGCAAAAATCCCAGAACCACACGGGGGGACCTAGTGAATGACCTGCAGAGAGCTGGGACCAAAGTAACAAAGCCTACCATCAGTAACACACTACGCCGCCAGGGACTCAAATCCTGCAGTGCCAGACGTGTCCCCCTGCTTAAGCCAGTACATGTCCAGGCCCGTCTGAAGATTGCTAGAGTGCATTTGGATGATCCAGAAGAGGATTGGGAGAATGTCATATGGTCAGATGAAACCAAAATAAAACTTTTTGGTAAAAACTCAACTCGTCGTGTTTGGAGGACAAAGAATGCTGAGTTGCATCCAAAGAACACCATACCTACTGTGAAGCATGGGGGTGGAAACATCATGCTTTGGGGCTGTTTTTCTGCAAAGGGACCAGGACGACTGATCCGTGTAAAGGAAATAATGAATGGGGCCATGTATCGTGAGATTTTGAGTGAAAACCTCCTTCCATCAGCAAGTGCATTGAAGATCAAACGTGGCTGGGTCTTTCAGCATGACAATGATCCCAAACACACCGCCCGGGCAACGAAGGAGTGGCTTCGTAAGAAGCATTTCAAGGTCCTGGAGTGGCCTAGCCAGTCTCCAGATCTCAACCCCATAGAAAATCTTTGGAGGGAGTTGAAAGTCTGTGTTGCCCAGTGACAGCCCCAAAACATCACTGCTCTAGAGGAGATCTGCATGGAGGAATGGGCCAAAATACCAGCAACAGTGTGTGAAAACCTTGTGAAGACTTACAGAAAACGTTTGACCTGTGTCATTGCCAACAAAGGGTATATAACAAAGTATTGAGAAACTTTTGTTATTGACCAAATACTTATTTTCCACCATAATTTGCAAATAAATTCATAACAAAATCCTACAATGTGATTTTCTGGATTTTTTTTTTCATTTTGTCTGTCATAGTTGACGTGTACCTATGATGAAAATTACAAGCCTCTCTCATCTTTTTAAGTGGGAGAACTTGCACAATTGGTGGCTGACTAAATCCTTTTTTCCCCACTGTATGATGGTTATTATATCAATATCTGCGCATAAAGGTGTTTCCACTGCAATTTCATGCATAATTTGCATAAAAGATCCCACCAGGTCGAACAAACAAATTGTCTGTTGGCATTTATAAAATTGTACTGCCATATCCTGTTGCCATCAGCACGGTCGTGACTTTTTTCATGAGTCAGGTAGGCCTTATTCATCCGCATGAAATGGTTGGATGGAAACCTGGTTACTGACAACATTATTTGACCTAGTTTTTTTTCCGGGTTCCCAGTTGTCTTGAAAGTACCATTAGCTAAAATATTACAGTTGTCAACAAACTATCCGTCCCAACAAACCATCAGTTTAACCACACCTGTTCCAAAACAAATGCAATCAACGCTAACCCGGTTCACCTGAGGCATGCCCAGGGCATTAACAGAATCCCCTCACTGGCTACAAGATTCTAGGCCAACCAATGATTGAACTGTTCATGGGCACTTGCTTGTCCCCCATTGGACCAATGCAATGTATTGTGCGTGTTGGTAAATACTAAACTTTATTTGCATGTATACGCTCCGTCATCACAGCCAACAAGGTTCTGTCTACACGTTCCAAAATCAAACCCAAAATGTTGCATTTATATCGAAAACAACCAAATACTGCCTGTACTAAGCTCTCTGGGTGTGGCTAAATCTTTTGCTCTGCAACCCCACTTTCTTTGAACAGCGTTGGAAATCGGCCCATTTACTGTATCCAGCAATGTAACGACAATGATAGCAGACAGTGCAAATTGTGTTTGACCTATTTTATTGAATATGTCTACTGATAAACTGAGTTACTAGCTGGACCATGCTGGTTTGTTCACTACCAGAATTCGAGCTTGGCTTTCCCATATCGAATCTGAGGACAAGATGTTCATGTTTCTAGTCTAGTGGATAGCCAATCTATTCTAGTGAGAATGTTACAGCTGCTGATCATCATCATTCAGAGGAGGCTGGTGGGAGGAGCTATAGGAGGACTGGCTTGTTGAAATGGCTGGAATGGAATAAATGGAACGGTATCAAACACATCAAACATATGGAAACCACATGTTTGACTCTGTTCCATTGATTTCATTCCAGTCATTACAATGAGCCCATCCTCATAGCTCTTCCCACCAGCCTCCACAGGCTACTGTATAAAACCACCTGTCTCCTTTACAGAACTTACGTCCAACGATGGCTGACAAAGTGAAGGTATTCTGTAGTATGTTCAAGAATGAAGCCGAGTGTGAATACAGTGCTGGTGAAGTTCTATCTGGACACGTTGTGGTCGATGTGTCAGTACAAGTCAAAGCCATCAAAATAGCGAGCAGAGAATTTGCCCATGTCTGCTGGGTGGAGGGCCACGACGAGGAACATCACCCATTAGTGCTGCTAGATCGAACACATCTCAGGGTGTTCAGGAGGAGGTGGAATTCTTCTGAATATCTCAACCTCTCAAAGCAACAACAGGTACTATCTGATTTGTATGTAGTATTTTATCAGGGCTGTAATGTACACTACTTTTAGGAAATTATGGAATGGTTAGACCTTTAGCAGGCAACTATGCTTTACAGTCAGTGAATATAATAATACCGTTGATTACTATACTTTTTGACGGAATTGTGTTATTTTATTTCAGATGGTTAGAAATGTATCAGTCTTGATGAAGGGCGTCATGAGTTCCCCTTTCAAGTGGAGCTCCCTCAAACGCAGGGTTGCAAAATTCCGGGAACTTTCAATAAATTCCCTGGTTTTCCAGAAATCCTGGTTGGAAGTTTCTGGATTTCCGGAAAGCCTCCAAATGTGATTTCAGGAAAACCAGGAAATGTATTGTAAGTTCCCGGAATTTTGCAACCCTACTCAAACGTGAGTTAACTTTTCAGACTGAATAGGAAATGATGAAATCAAAGCTTGATTTGCCTCAGTATTACACTATGTTTGGCTATTGTACTAACTTCAACAGTTAATGGAGACTTTCCATTGTAGACTTTTCTTTTTCAGCATAACTGGATGATTTAGTTTTTTTCCCCGAATGAATGAGTGACATTCCATAATGAAGTACATTATGTAGAATATTGTTGCATCTTTGAGCCGATGAATACCAGTATGTATTCTGTTGGCCCCTTGTGAACTCTTTCAATGGGAAATATGGGAGTGTTTGCTATGAGGTGACAGTTGTATTACAGAAACTCTTGACTCAAACTGTCAACAAAGAATTCTCTATCAGCCATATTGATGTCACTTTCCCATGGTTACTGCTGAGTGATAACACTCCAAAATGGATTGCATTGCCACGTCAGTTTTTGTGCAGTGTCCTGTGTTTTGTCCTATGTTTTTAACAATTTTGTGAGTTAGAATAAAGCTGCAATATGTAACTTTGTGGGTGACTCGACCAAATTCACATAGAAATGTGTTATAGATTTGTCATTCTCATTGAAAGCAAGTCTAAGAAGTGGTTGATCTGTTATGTGCGCTATTTCTATGTTTCCCATTAAGTTTTGGTTTTGCGTCTTTTACATTCGGTTTTGTACACCAGCTGAAAATACAATATTTTTGGTTATGGAAAGATATATTTTACAGCAGTTTAGCTGGTACAATGTTTCTCTACACTGTACTTGCTTGTTTTTGTCACATAAACCAAAATTAGGCAAACTATAAGCTTTTTAGTAACCAGGAAATGGCGGCGCGAGATCTGAATAGTGAATCTTTAAGAGGATGGTCAGTTTGGTTTCCATACATGGACACATTGCTGAAAGCCAATCTTGAAATCTATTAGATGACACTTTTAGATGTTGATACATTGATCTATTTTCAAAGCTTTGACTGTGGAAATTGCTTTGAGTTTTGTTGGTGTACCCAAGAGAGTAACCACAAAACATTTGGCAATCAGTGAATGTATCATTCTTGGAAATCTCCCCTGACTAATTTGGTATAATTGTTGCAGTTTTTCACCTCAGGCCCGATCTCTCTGAATGGCAATATTGACAGAAGGGGCTACTGTAACAGTCTGAATGTTTCAAAAGTTTGTTTTTCGTCATAGATCAAGATTTATTGTCATTTTTTAATTATAGTGCAATGTCCTCAAGATTCTGTTTTTTTTTCTCTTGTCTTCCTTCTAGGAGAGTCCATCCCCATCAATGCTGTGATTGAGAACTGTTGTTCTTGACTCATTGTGCCCAAAGTAGCTATCTACCAAATACAGACATTCATGGCAAAACAAAAACTCCTACCAAGTTGGTTTCCAGCGTGAGGGGTTACCACATTCCATCATTCTGCACAGACACCTGGAATGGAAAAACACTGAAGATCCCACCTGTCTCTGCCTCAATTCTCAACTCCTCAGTGATCAATGGAATACTCCTTGGGTGCCCTTTTATGGATACTTTGTTACTCTAATCTATTATTGTCACGCCCTGACTCTGGGGACTCTTATTTGTTGAGTCAGGGTGTGATTTTCTATGTTGTATTTTCTATGTTTATAGTCTAGTATGTCTAGATCTATGTTGGCCGGTGTGGTTCCCAATCAGAGGCAGCTGTCGCTCGTTGTCTCTGATTGGGGACAATACTTAGGCAGCCTATTGGCACTAGTTGGTTGTGGGATCTTGTTCCGTGTGAGGTATGTTGTTTGTGTACCTTGGACTTCACGTTTCGTTTAGTTTGTTGTTTTGTCATTGTTTATTCGGTTCAAATAAACATGTATGCATATCACGCTGCGCCTTGGTCCGTCCCGTCAATCAACGAACGTGACAATTATATTATTTAAGTGTGGTATAAATTCCATTCTAGATCATATTATGTTATATCATCTGCATGGTTTTTCCCTTGTAAATATTGATGTCTGTATAATAATAATAATAATATTTATCTGTTGAAATGTATACATTTGCAGGATGAACACAGACATGTTACTGTACATGAGGGATCATCAACTAGATTCATTTGTGGGCCGATTCTTTTTTTTTCTTGAGAGGATGGTCGGGGGCCGGAACATAACTATAAATAATTTGTAGACTGCAAATTGACCGCAAGACAGATAATATTTGACTAAAGTATAATCAAACCTTGCTTACAATTCTATAGGATTATGTGTGGGAAGACTTAGGAACAGATTTCCAAAATTAAAAAGAACTTGGAGCTGATTTCCTGGTGTTTTTAGTGTTATGTGCAACAATAACAAAATAAAATAAAAAATGGCTCAACTTGGGAGGGCAAATAAAACCACCGGGCCACCAGTTGGTAAACCCTACTAAGATGTACAACCCACTGGGCACACACTGGTTGAATCAACGTTGTTTCCATGTAATTTCATTGAAATGACATTGAACCAACGTGGAATTGACGTCTGTGCTCAGTGTCTGGAACTTTATTGTAGGGATGCGACCCTATTCTTCCACAATAAATTCCATAATTTTGTGTTTTGTTGATGGTGGGAAACGCTATCTCGTGCCGCTCCAGAATCTCCCATAAGTTTTCAATTGGGTTGATCTGGTGACTGAGATGGCCATGGCATGTTTTCATGCTCATCAAACAATTCAGTGACCACTTGTGCCCTGTCGATGGGGTTATTGTCATCCTATGGGGGCATAGCTATGGTAGTCAAAATAATGGTCAGCCCAGCATTTTTATACATGACCCTAAGCATGATGGGATGTTAATTGCTTAATTAACCCAGGGCCCACACCTGTGTGGAAGTGTCACACTCTGGCTCCGGGACTGTGTATATGAGTCAGGGTGTATTTCATTTGGTGGTGTTGGGTAGGGGTGTGTTTCATTTGTTTGTGTTTTGGTAATTGGTCTGGTGACTCCCAATCGGAGGTAACGAGTGTCAGCTGTCGGCTCGTTATCTCTGATTGGGAGCCATATATAATCTGTGTGTTTTTCACCTTGTGTTTGTGGGTTTTTGTTCCTGTGTTCCAGTGTTCCGTGTTTTTGTCACTGAGGACGTTACGATCGTGTTTTGTTTCATTTTCGTGTGTGCGCTTTATTATAATAAAGTATGTACGCTTATCACGCTGCGCCTTGGTCCGCTCCTTTTGAAGACAATCGTGACAGAAAAACCCACCATAAAAGGACCAAGCAGCGTGTCCAGGAGCAAAGAGACTGGACATGGGTGGAGGCGCCGGGTAAGGAGATCGAGAGGCTGGCGATGGCCCAGGTGGGCAAATCGTGGTCCTGGGAGGACATGCTCGGGGGCAAGGGACCTTGGGGGAAGATCAAGGCCCTGGCGAGAGAGGAGCATCGGCGGCAGCAGGTTTTTCGTCGGAAGGACGAGAGGCAACCCCAAGAAATTTTTTGGGGGGGGCACATGGCTTGGGCAGCTGGGCAGCAGGAGGCTGCCACAGGGAGACGTGGAGAGAAGGCTATCGGATTACGGGAGCCATTGGCGAGTAGGGGAAGGGAAGTTGTTGCGGCACGGCGTGAGAGACTGATGTGTGTTTCCAGTCCGGTCCGGCCCGTTCCTGATCCCCAGTTAAGGCCAGTGGTGTGTGTTCCCAGTACGGACCGGCCTGTTCCTACTCCACGCATCAAGCCCACGGTGTGCGTCGCCAGCCCAGCCCGGCCTGTTCCTGCTCCACGCACAGAACCTACGGTGTGCGTCGCCAGCCCGGCCCGGCCTGTTCCTGCTCCACGCACAGAACCTACGGTGTGCGTCGCCAGCCCAGCCCGGCCTGTTCCTGCTCCACGCACAGAACCTACGGTGTGCGTCGCCAGCCCAGCCCGGCCTGTTCCTGCTTCACGCACTAACCCTACGGTGTGCGTCGCCAGCCCAGCCCGGCCTGTTCCTGCGCCACGTACGAAGCCTACGGTGTGCGTCGCCAGCCCAGCCCGGCCTGTTGCTGCTCCCCGCACTAGCCCTGAGATGCGTGTCCTCAGCCCGGTACCTCCAGTTCCGGCACCACGCATCAGGCCTACGGTGCGTCCCCAGGGCCCAGCATGCCCTGTTCCTACTCCCCGCACTAGCCCTGAGATGCGTGTCCTCAGCCCGGGACCACCAGTTCCGGCACCACGCACTAGGCCGTATGTGCGTCCCCAGGGTCCAGCATGCCCTGTTGCTTCTCCCCGCACTAGCCCTGAGATGCATGTCCTCAGCCCGGTACCTCCAGTTCCGGCACCACGCACCAGGCCTACGGTGCGCCTCAGACGGCCAGAGTCTGCCGTCTGCCCAACGGGGCCTGAACTGCCCGTCTGCCCAAAGCCTGCAAAGCCGCCCGTCTGCCATGAGCCATCAGAGCCGTCCGCCAGACCGGAGCCGCTAGAGCCTTCCGCCAGACAGGATCAGCCAGAGCCTTCCGCCAGACAGGATCAGCCAGAGCTTTCTGCCAGACAGGATCAGCCAGAGCCTTCTGCCAGACAGGATCAGCCAGAGCCTTCTGCCAGACAGGATCAGCCTTCCGCCAGACAGGATCAGCCAGAGCCTTCCGCCAGCCATGAGCAGCCAGATCCGTCAGCCAGCCATGAGCAGCCAGATCCGTCAGCCAGCCATGAGCAGCCAGATCCGTCAGCCAGCCATGAGCAGCCAGATCCGTCAGCCAGCCATGAGCAGCCAGATCCGTCAGCCAGCCATGAGCAGCCAGATCCGTCAGCCAGCCATGAGCAGCCAGATCCGTCAGCCAGCCATGAGCAGCCAGATCCGTCAGCCAGCCATGAGCAGCCAGATCCGTCAGCTAGCCATGAGCAGTCAGATCCGTCAGCTAGCCATGAGCAGCCAGATCCGTCAGCCAGCCATGAGCAGCCAGATCCGTCAGCCAGCCATGAGCCGTCCAGCCGGGATCCGCCAGAGCCGTCCGGCCGGGATCCGCCAGAGCCGTCCGGCCGGGATCCGCCAGAGCCGTCCAGCCGGGATCCGCCAGAGCCGTCCAGCCGGGATCCGCCAGAGCCGTCCAGCCGGGATCCGCCAGAGCCGTCCAGCCGGGATCCGCCAGAGCCGTCCAGCCGGGATCCGCCAGAGCCGTCCAGCCGGGATCCGCCAGAGCCGTCCAGCCGGGATCCGCCAGCCAGCCAGGATCCGCCAGAGCCAGCCAGCCAGGATCCGCCATTTAGTCCGGTGCTGCCCCTTAGCTCGGTGCTGATCCTTATCCTGGTGCTGCCCCTTATCCTGGTGCTGCCCCTTAGTCCGGTGCTGCCCCTTAGTCCGGTGCTGCCCCTTAGTCCGGTGCTGCCCCTTAGTCCGGTGCTGCCCCTTAGTTTGGTGCTGCCTCTTAGTCCGGTGCTGCCCCTTAATCCAGTGGGGTTAAGTGGTAGGGTGGTCAGTAGGAGGAGGCTACTAAAGCGGGTAGTGACTATGGTGGGGTGGGGACCACGACCAGTGCCAGAGCCGCCTCCGAGGAGCAACACCCACCCAGCCCCCCCCATTTTTTGGGTTAGGCGCGGTCGGAGTCCGCGCCTTTGGGGGGGGGTACTGTCACACTCTGGCTCCGGGACTGTGTATATGAGTCAGGGTGTATTTCATTTGGTGGTGTTGGGTAGGGGTGTGTTTCATTTGTTTGTGTTTTGGTAATTGGTCTGGTGACTCCCAATCGGAGGTAACGAGTGTCAGCTGTCGGCTCGTTATCTCTGATTGGGAGCCATATATAATCTGTGTGTTTTTCACCTTGTGTTTGTGGGTTTTTGTTCCTGTTGTTCCTGTGTTCCAGTGTTCCGTGTTTTTGTCACTGAGGACGTTACGATCGTGTTTTGTTTCATTTTCGTGTGTGCGCTTTATTATAATAAAGTATGTACGCTTATCACGCTGCGCCTTGGTCCGCTCCTTTTGAAGACAATCGTGACAGGAAGCACCTGTTCTCAATATAGTTTGTATCCCTCATTTCTTAAGCTAAACCCAATGAGTTTCTGTTTCACTTGTATTTTTCTATTTTATAAAGACAAGTTTGAATAAAATAATTAGACAATGCTTATATTGTTCACTTTTCAGTTATTCCTATATCAAAACACAATGTTTGATGTTAAGCAATGTGAGTAAGTCACATCTGTTCAACATTATCATCCACAAGCAGACCAGTGAATGCTTGAGTGTATTGTGAAATGCAACACTGATTTCCAGACAAAGTTGGAAATGCACACTTACAGTACTTCAAGCACAGTTCTAACCCTAACTAGTTGATGGACAAGAATAGGAGATTGTTATTCAGATTCCCAACCCAGCATTTATGGGGCTCCAGATGATTT